CGACCAGCTGCCTCTTGCACACCCCCTATCGGGGATGTGCCTGCAACCAATGTACATGCCCTTGACCGGAATCGAACCTGGGACCTTTCAGTCTGCAGACCGACGCTCTACCACTGAGCCAAACTGGTTTCGGCTATCCTTTAATTTAAAAAAAAACAACACAATTTTTATTGATTTCAGAAAGGAAGGTAAAGGGAGAGATAGAAAGAATAATTGATAGGCTGCATGTGAGCCCTACACTAGAGATTGAGCCAGCATCCCGGGCATGTGCCCTGACTGGGCATTGAACTGTGTTCTTCTAGTTCGTAGGTCAATGCTCAACCACTGAGCCACGGCAGCAGGGCAAACTATTATCTTTTTAAAAAATGTTCTTATTGATTTTAGAGAGAGAGGGAGAAACATTGATTGAGTGCCTACCGTCAAACCCGCAAACTGGGTATGGCCCCTGACTGGGAATCCAACTGGCAACCTTTCTATGCACAGGACGATGTTCAACCGAGCCACACCAGCCAGGGCAATGAACTATTCTTTTTTTTTTTTTAAAGTTACTGGGGCATGTTGCAAGGAGAAAAAATCCGACAATTAGTCGGAATGATCTCTACTTAGAATGATCTCTATGTCATTTGCAAAAATGATGTTGGGATTAGATCTTTCCAAGTCTTTCCAAATACTGAAAAAGGTGACTAAATAACAAAAGTTATGTCATTGGGGAATCATGAAAGTGAGTACTCTACCAGTAAAAGGTGAGAGGGTAGAAAGGAGAATGATTGAAACCAGGAACTCTCAGTCAGCTTGTGTGAGTGTTGTCATGTCTGTCAACCAGGTCGTTTACAGAGTGGAGAGGCCTCCTCCTCCCTGCCCTCTTTATTTATCTTCTGTTACCCACGTACATACTCAATGACCATAAAGAAGATACTTTGTTCAGAATTAACTAAAAAAGAAATCCTGAGCTGATGGGCCCTTGTGAGTTGAAAATTTAAAAGTTGAATTGGTTGACATTTTCGATATTTGCCTTTAATTTCTCCTTATTTAAGCATATCACTCCTGCTGGGACCATCTTTAGCCGTTTAAACATAATTTAGTGTATTGAGTCTTTGGGGGTTTCTGACTGTCAGTTGGATTATTCTTTCTATTAGAGTCCAGTGGTACTCAGCATGTTTTACTAATCCATATTTATTTATTTTTATGTTTTAATCTTTATTGTTGAAAGTATTACTTATGTCCCATTGACCTCTTCTACCCCATCCCCTCCCCCCACGTTAATCCATATTTAAACTAGGGTGACCTCACGTCCTGATTTGCCCGGGACAGTCTGGTTTACACCTGTTGTCCCAGCAGAATTATTAATAGCAACCTCTTCTACTCCATTAGCGTCCTGGTTTGGAAGATTAAACTCTACAACCACTCTAACCATGACTCCTAAAAATTTACAAGACCATGTCACACTTTCCTTCTAATTGTTGAATTTGTAGCTATTTTACACAATCTCTGAGACCCTTCCTTCTTTTCTGACCCATTTTAAGCATCCTTTGAACTTCAGAAGGCCAAAAAGCCAGCGACGAGACAGAGAGAACCACATCCACCCAAAGGCAATGTTGTTCATTAATAACACATATGAATTAACATGCTTTGCTCATTAAGAACATTTTAATTATTTAGGTTGCGTTTCTATTAAGCAGCTATATTATTCATTCAATCACATTAAGTGTTTAAGGAATGCTAATGGTTGGCTGGCACCCACCTTCATAGCCAAACAGAAGTAAGAACAAGAAGGCTTCTATCTTGAGTGGCATTCTTCCCTTGTCCTTGGCTGCAGCTCTACCTTATCCAAGTGGAGAGCTTCCCCAGGAGCAGATTAACTTGAGCACCGACCTCATTAAATACCTTATGCCATTTAGTTCTTAGGGCGTGGGCTGAGCCCCAAGTTAACCCACATAGTTACCTGCCTTAACAAGGAAGTCTTAGACAAGAATCTAGTGTCAACTGAGGTCGGTTTAGCAAAAGAAAATATTGTTTTTCTTCTATCTTTAAACGTAAGGGAAGCACTGGAGGGGAATGGAGCCTGGAATCTGAAGACCCAGGTCTTAATTCTTTCTCTGCCATTATCTTCTAGTGGGTGACCTTGAGCAATTTCCCGCCACATAAGCACTAACATTTGCGAGTTCTGTGACAATGACACGGATTTACCTCTTAGAAAGCAACTTGACTTCATGTTCATATCTAGTCACTCGGGGAAATGCCAAAATACATTGCTGGGTTATTTATAATAACAAAAAGTTGGAAACAGTATCCATGGCCAAGGTTAGGGGTTTCAGTGCAACAAGTAGGGTTAAAAGCAGGTTCCCAAGCCAGACGGTGCAAATCCCAGCTCAACCATTTGTTTTGTGACCTTGGCCAAGTTACTTCAGGGCTCTGTGTTTCAACGTTTTGGTCTGTAAGGAAATGATAATGCCTACTTCATGGGGTTAGTTTGAGAATTAAATGGGATTATATGTGTAAGAAGTTCTGGAGATCCTTTTGACAACAGTGTAAATATAATTCACATTACTGAGCTGTATACTTAAAAATGGTGAAGATGGTAAAAAAAAAAAGTTAAAACTTGAAGAGATTGTAATAACAGGGACAATCAGATGTCATACTCTAGTCTAGAGCTAGAAAAGGGTGCAAATTTATGCACTGTATGAGCAACACTATTTGGAAAAAAATGCAGAGAAAAGGACTGCTGTTCCCTTTGCCTTTTTGGTTCCTAATGAATGCTAATGATTCATTAAGAACCAAATGAATGGCCACCACTATCCCATCTCAGCTTCCAGACTCCCAGACACCTTTCCTTCTTTCCTCTTGTCAAAGAAAAAAAAAAGCCAATATTAAAAGATAATGACCCTTCAAAATTAAAGTGTGATGAACTAATAAAGAGGAACAAAAAGGAACTAGAGAAGCATTGTTCAATCATGTTTATTGGGTGTCTACAAGCCTGACATTTATTCTGTACTATATATGGATTCATTAAACAGACGAAGGTCTATTCAACAAACTCCACTGTTGTATTAAAAAGAAAAGGGCTGTGAAGGAGACATATGTAGTACTTTAAACAAGAAAAGAACTGTTGTATTAAATTTTTAAATAGAAAAAGATTGTTTTCCCTACTCTGAATTTAAAGTTTAATAAAAACTTTAAATAATAATAATTTGGTAAACAATAATTATCCAAAACAGAATGATTATTATTAATCCTTAATAAATAATAATTAATAACCCTTCAATTATTGAACAGCAATCAAAGAGCTGGCGTATTGACATATTTTATTTGGAGGGTTTGGGCAGGGAAAGGGCCGCGCTGGGTGGTGTTGCTGCCCGCCAGCTCTAGGTTTCAGGCCGCCCAGAAGTAGCGGAGGGAAGATGGGAGTAGCGTCCTGGGGGGCTGCTGTGTGCCCCGGGACTACAACATCACGGGGTCCCCCCTCTGCTGTTTTTCATTTGTGGCGATGGCGGCCGGGAATGGAGGAGCCGGCTATTTTTCATTACGCTTCTGTGATAAAAGCATTCTAAAAATTAAAACAATAAAATGAAAGTTTGTTTTAAAGGGCGAAAGGAAAGCACTTCGATTTCTTTTCTATGATTTCATGTGAACAACTCAAAGCACTTTAAAAAGTGAAAACGAGAACCGAGGCCGGGGGGCCTCGGGGTGGTTCCACTGGGGCTCGAACCCAGGACCTTCTGCGTGTAAAGCAGACGTGATAACCACTACACTATGGAACCTCCCTGTAACACACGTCCATCGTTCGTTTACTTATAGTCTTCCGTCAGCGCCAGCGTTCCGCTGGAGCCACGCCTCTCCGCCGTAACTCCACCCCCCACCGTGGCCCCGCCCCCTCCGAGAACCCGCGTTCGCGGTGGGCGGGGCGGAGCTCACGCTCCTACGTAGAGACCGCTTGTGAGCTCCACGCGCCAGGTCGCCCTCCCCGCGCCCAGGTGCCCGCCGTCCTCCCTCCCTCCTCCGCTTGGCCGGGGCACAGCCCCTTAGGGCAGCTTCCCTCAGCTGGTGAGGAGCCCGCACGTTCCTCAGTTTCCCCACGGGCACACTGAGCCGCTTCTGGCGGTTTGAAGGGCGGCCAGGAGCGCTGCTAGAGCCAGAGATTCAGGCCGCGTGGGGTGTGGAGTGTGGGGTGTGGGGTGGGCTGGGGCGGGGGTCACTTTTATGTCAGCGTTTATTTCGCCAGGGCTGGGAAAGGCCGATGGGGAGTAGGCCTCTTGCCCCAGAAGCGAGGCTATGACAGCTCTCCTGACCTTTCCACAGCCTTCTCCCCAGAGGGGCTAAGCATGCAGGATTTTGGTTTGCTCTTGGCTGGGGTAGGGTTGGGGTGGTGTTGTAGACAAGCCACCCCTTTATGGCTGGGGTGGGGTGAGGGCTGCGTGAGGCAGGAGCAGACACAACACGTGAGGGACCCAATGCAACATAAAAAGTGCCAGATCTTTTGTGCGCGTTATTAAGAATTCCAAAACGATGACCTCAGAGCACTAAACCCTTGAACAGGTCGCTGTGGTTCCAGGACTGTGGGCCCTATAGGGGGCTGGGACCCTCCACTACACAGGGCGCCTGCATGGCTTCCTTCCTGGTTTTCATTGTCAGTGCCATTTATTCATACCTTCCTCTCCCCCCTCGCCCCCCCCCCCCCACCTGTGCCTCTGGCTGGATCTCTGTCACCATCCTCGGATTGCTTGCCATCCTCAAGCTTGAAAACCAGGTAAAACCACGTCTTTTTTTTTTTTTTTTTTTTTTCTAATATATTTTATTGATTTTCCACAGAGAAGAAGGGAGAGAGATAGCTATTGTAGAAAAGTGGATGAGAGAGAAACATTGACCAGCTGCCTCCTGCCCACCCCCTACTGGGGATGTGCCCGCAACCAAGGTACATGCCCTTGACTGGAATCGAACCTGGGACCTTTCAGTCCGCAGGCCGACACTCTATCCACTGAGCCAAACCGGTTTTGGCAAAACCACATCTTTAAGTGCTGAGTGGGACATGGCTGAAGGCTGCGGCTGTCCTTTTTGCTGGAGTTTTCCTCCGAAGCTACCAGCATGATGGAGAAATGATACTGATTGTAGGAAAACAACCCATTCAGGCAACTCCTGCCTTCCTGGGAAGGCCCCTGAAAGAAACAGGTGTGTGGAAAGTGCGCTAATCTGGTGCTTAGGTCGTCAGCCATGGGATGACTATGACTGCACAGCCACCAGCAGAGGATGACTTCATAAAAGCTCCATGTTTCCTCCTAGTCCAGCAGCCATCATGACCCGGGGACGCTCAGTAATAAGTATGTCCCACCTGCTTCCACACCCCTGTAAGTTCAAAACAAGGCTTCTCAGAATTGAATTGTACTCACTAGCTGTGTTTTTGGTATGTGTCTAAGGGAGTGCTTTGCCCTCCCTTCAGCTTTCTTCCTGCCCTTGCTCTAAGGGTGGGTTCTCCAGGCGCAAGCTTTGGTCAGGTTCCCATGTAGGAAAGGAGCTGGTGCACCTCTGATGCATGCAACACAGGTTCTGCCTTTAGTGAAAAACTCCGTTTTGACAGGGAGGGAGACTTGTTCCACTCCCTGCTGCTGTCAAGGTGTAGTCACAGTTTCCGTAACTAGTGAAGTACAGTATGGTTTACAAAGCACTTTCATATATCTATTCCTGTGAGGTAACCATCCTGTCTAATAAAGAGGGAATATGCTAATTGACCATCACTCCCTCACAAAGATGGCTGCACCCACAGCTGAGGCCATGTTCCCATAAGGAGCCTTAATGAGCAATCAGCAGGGACCTGAGGCTACACCCTCCCCTCAGCCCCAGTGGGGCCTGACAGGGAACCTCAGGCCATGTCCCCCCCCCCCCCCCCAGCAGGGCTTGACAGAGGACCTCAGGCCGTGCCTCCCACCCAGCGGGCTTGATAGGGGATCTGAAGCTGCTCCCCCCTGCCAGTGGGGCTTGATGGGGGACCTGAGGCTGTGCCCCCCTCTTGGTGCTGGGCCAGGGGACCTAAGGCTGCATCCCCCCCCCCCCGCCTGGTGGGGCTTGACGGGGGGACCACAAGGCACACCCCTGCCTGGTCGGGCTTGACAAGGTGAGACTGGCTGGGTCTGGATCTAGCCCATTGGAGGGGGGGCGCCAGTCTGGTCTGGGTCTCATGCAATTTTGAGGTGCATGTGAGTGGGCGGGGACTTGACTCTGGATCCCGTGGTGAGCCCCAGACTCTGACAGGAGGAAGGTTTTCATATACATTTTACTAATTTTCTTTCATCTCTGACACTTCTATTATAGAGAAAGGGCAAGTAGCAATATTAAATTATCTCCTCTAATTAATCCTCTTTTACTGTGCACGAATTTCGTGCACTGGGCCACTAGTAGTAAATATTACTATTTTCAGCTGAAGAAGTTGAAGCTGAAGATAGTGAATGCCTTGTCTGAGACCATTCTGCTGGTGAGTGCCAGGGCTGGGCTCATACTCTTTTGATACCTAAGTCTTTTTGGGAGGCCCATGTTTTTCCCATAAGAGTGCCATGGTCTTTTGTAATATTTTGTATGCATGCCCGTGAGGAAATTGATACTTTTTCTGTTTTTATCTTTTGTAATTTTAAATGAAATCCACAAAAGCAGGAACCAAGAACCTGCGGAAACAGCTATTGATTTTCACGTTGAAACCACCAGAGTCATGGATAATGCTTCAGATGGCCCCAGTTTTGCCCGGCACTTCAGTCTGTGCACTTGGATTTGTGAGACATGTCACCCCCAGGTAATGCCTATGATCATCTCATCGAGTATAAGACAAACACATAAAGCAGTAAATGAAGACGAGAAGTCACTTCAAGGTTTTTGAGTTCTTTGATTTCTCCTATGTTTAGTGTGGCTTCCCCTGAGTTTGGCTTCACTGCTGGAGGGAAACTCAGTCAAATGGACTGCAGTCCCAAACACTAATCTGATTTAAAAAGCTCAGTGGACTTGGTTTCATTGAGAAACAATTGTATTATGTCTTCCAAAGAGTACTGAAGCATTTATTAAGTAAGTGAGTCATTACCTTGGTATAATAGACTTCAGCTTATTTTTTCCCCTTTTTTGGGCTCACCATGTTCAAAATGTTTGGTACTTTTTGCTCACCTACCTTTTCATAGTTGCTTACCATAAGACATCTGTCTTCTTACCCTGCTCAAGTTCTGTGTTCATTTTTATCACTTGTTTGCCTTTTTTGTTGCTTGTAGCAAGATCACAATCTTCTAAATTCAGCTCTCTCCCTGCCATTCCACCTCTGAATATGGCTCCAGGAAGAATACACATTCAGGCCTAAAAGTTTCATATTAAATTTTATATATATATATATATATATATATATATATATATTTTTTTTTTTTTTAATTTTTTTATTTTTTACAGAGAGGAAGGGAGAGGGATAGAGAGAAACATCGATCAGCTGCCTCTTGCACACCCCCTACTGGGGATGTGCCCACAACCAAAGTACATGCCCTTGACTGGAATCGAACCTGGGACCTTTCAGTCTGTAGGCTGACACTCTATCCACTGAGCCAAACCAGTTTCGCCCATATTGAATTCTTAACTACTGATTTCAAGTGAGCCCTTGATGCGGCCCAGAATCATGTCCACGTCCCCTGTCCATTCATTGTCCGCCTTTCCTAAAGGATAGTTTCCTATATTCTCTTCCTAAACTTCTTGAACCTTCTTCACCAATCTCACAGCTGATGAAATTGCTTCCTATGTCAGTGAAAATATGGAAGCAGTCAGGAGAGCTTCCACAAGTACCCCCCACATCTGTCCACCTACCTACCTGTGCCCCTAGACATCTAGACATGGGCTCTTCCTCTAGATCAGGGTTTCTCGACCACAGCCCTATTGACTTTGGGACTGGATAATTCTTGGTTGTGGGGAACTGTTCTGTGTACTGTAGAATGTTTCACAGTATCCCTGGCCTCTACTCACTAAATGCCCACAGCATCCCTCCCTTAGTCGTGACAACTCAGTATATCACAGGGAACAAAATCTCGGGGGCTATTGGCAGTATCTGCAGACACTTTTGGTTGCTATGACTGGTGGTGGTGGGGGGGGTTGGGTGCTATTGGCATCTAGAGGGTAGAGACCAGGGATGCGGCGAAACATCCTGTATCGCACAGGGCAGCACTCACAACAAATTACCTAGTCCCAAATGTCCATAGTGCCATGGTTGGAAAATCCCATCCTAGATGAATAGTCTGCATTCCTATTGAAACCCAGCCCTCCACCTGCTCCTCCAGGAGTTGGAGGAGCCATGGCATGTAACACACATACCATTTTGACAGTGTTTAAGCTGCCCACCAGCTACTGAGGAATTGCCCGGTGTTGAAGTTTTTTATCACACTAGTGACCTGGTACACGAAATTTGTGCACATTAAAAGGGGATTAATTAGAGGAAATAATTTAATATTGCTACTTGCCCTTTCTCTATAATAGAACTATCAGAGATGAAAGAAAATTAGTAAAATGTATATGAAAACCTTCCTCCTTTATAATAGAACTGTCAGAGTCTGGGGCTCACCATGGGACCCAGAGTCAAGTCCCCGCCCACCCACATGCACCCCGCTGGCCCCTCCCCATTGGGCTAGATGCAGACCTGGCCAGTCCCACCCTTGTCAAACCCTGCGGGGCATGCCTAGGGTCAGGGCAGGGGGTGTGGCCTGAGATCCCCCAGCCCAGACTGGGGCGGGAGGCCTGCCTTGAGGTCCCCCACCAAGTCCCACCAGGTAGGGGACACGGCCTGAGGTCCCCCAGCCCAGCACCAAAAGGGGAGCTCAGCCTCAGGTCTCCCGTCAAGCCTCGCTGAGCGGGGGGGCGTGGGATGAGTACCCTGACCCAGCATTGGGGGTACACCTTGAGGTCCCTCTGTCAAGCCCTACTGGGCGGGGACGTGGCCGAGTTCCCCTGTCAGTCCCAACCAGGCAGGGGGGCGCAGCCTCAGGTCTCCTGGCCCAGTGTTGGGGCCGGGCCGCAGACTGAGGTCTCCTGTCAAGCCTCGCCAGGTGGGGGGTGCGGTCTGAGGTCCCCCCGCTTGGTGCCGGGTAGGGGGCACAGCCTGAAGTCCCCTGTCAAGTCCCTCCTGGTGGGGGGTACGGCCTGAGGTCCCCTGGCCTGGTGCTAGGGCGGGGGGAGCAGCTTGAGGTTCCCTAGCCCAGCACTAGGCGGGGAAGTACATCTTGAGGTCCCCCCCCCCCAGTCAACCCCCACACAGGGCGTGGCCTCAGGTCCCCTGCCTTGGCAATGGGGTGGGGGTGTGGCCTGAGGTTCCCTGTCAAGACCCACTGAGACGAGGAGGGCATAGCCAAAGGTCCCTGCTGATTGCTGGTTAAGGCTCCTTATGGGAACTTGGCCTCAGCTGTGGGTGCAGCCATCTTTGTGAGGGAGTGATGATCAATTAGTATATTCCCCCTTTATTGGACAGTATTTCTTCAATATGTCTAGAAGCACAGTGTTGGGCAGTGTGGGGGTTTTAGAAACATATATGATATGGCACCATCCTCGGCATTTGAAGAACATTCATTAACCCAAAGGGCTACTTTGTTCCAAGATATTAATGGATCATAATCATTGCAGGTAGTTTTCCTAGCTTAGGATATGATTGGATTTTAATTAGATCCTATCTCCTCTCAAAGAAGAAACTCAAAAGTGGAGAAGGCAGAGGGGAGTGGGGCCATGGTAATATGCAGAAACCTGTCTAATAGTGAAGATGGCCTCAGTGGCATTCCTCTCCCTAACAGTTATCTATAATCCCCAAATCACCCACAACATGTTCGATGAGCTTAGATTTGATAGAGATAGCTATTCAGGAGATAAAGAGGTCAGCTCAAAATCCTATCTCTCCCCCTTCCTTATTTATATATCTTAAGATGCCTCTAATTTTAAAGTCACTCTTTTGGGGCCGCGTAACTGAACACAGGGCAATTTGGCTGCACCTCAGTCCTACAGAACCCCACTTACAAGAAAATGTCTGATAGCAGTGTCTAGCCAGTGGTAATTGGCGACAAAAATGAAATTGGCTATTGCCTCCACTTCCCTGACACTTAATGTCTTCTTTAGATTTATAAGTGGCTTCAATTGTGCACACAATGGGGCTTGCCTCTAAGCCCGATGGGAAGGTTTTAGGAGTGGCCCAGATATTAAACAAACATCATATAGTATATTTTTATTAGTGATTTTAAGCATTCATGATATTTGGGATACAATTAGGGAATAGTCTGAAGGTTCTCTGTAATAATAAAAGCAAACTAATTAGTAGGTTAACTCAGAGGCTGCAGGCAAGGAGCTTTCCTCTGCTAAATCTTGTTAAAATGAAGTGGATTCTATTTTGTACCGAATGAGCAGGCTGCCATGACAACTGACTGTGAATATTATTTCGGTATTAGTCATACGTTTCCAGTGTCTGACTCTGAGTCCAGCGTTTATTCTGAAACCCAGATGCACATCTATTCTTACAGGAGCTCTCCTGGATATATTTACAAAAAAAAACAAAAAAAACAAAACACCAACCCAGAAACAAAACACTTGCAACTGCCTGGGTTGTTTTCCTTTGGGAATAGCAATTTGAATGAATTTACACAATTGCAAGTTGTAGATGCTGTTGCTGTTCTTTTCCTTTGGAGAGGTGATTTGGGTATGAATAGATATTATACTTGACTATAGAGTTGAATAAATAGACACACTAGACCAGAATTTGGAAAGTTCTCCTCTACATATGTAATCTTTATGTTAAATTTTTTTTTTCTTCTTTTTTTTTTTTTTTTTTTTTTTTTTGCATCCAACAGTTTCAGAAGGAATCTGAGGTTGCCAGTGAGAAGATTCAGCCCAAACTGAGTAGGCAAAACCGATCTCAAATGAATCTGACTTGGAAATTCCGAAGGTAAAATGTCATCCAGTGTTTTACAAAGGAGATCTCCAGCTCTGTTTCCTTGCCTTTCCCTTGGTCAGGCCTGCTCCATGGATCAGTTGCCCCCCAGACTGGCTCTCCTCATGGGGATAGCCTTGCTCAGAGCACGACATTTTGGGAAGAAGAGGAAGTTTGTGTCCCAGCGCTTTCTCCAAAGCCCTGAGATTTGCTCGTAGTGCCCACTTTTCTTTTCTTTTCTTTTCTTTTCTTTTCTTTTCTTTTTTTTTTTTTTTTTTTTTTTTTTTTTCTTTTCTTTTCTCTTCTCTTCTCTTCTCTTCTCTTCTCTTCTCTTCTCTTCTCTTCTCTTCTCTTCTTTTCTTCCTTCCTTCCTTCCTCCCTTCCTCCCTTCCTCCCTTCCTCCCTTCCTTCCTTCCTTCCCTTCCTTCCCTTCCTTCCCTTCCTTCCCTTCCTTCCCTTCTTCCATATTTTCCGGCGTATAAGACAACTTTTGAAACGAAAAAAAGTCAACTAAAAATCGGGGGCAAAAGACCAAAATTGCACAAAAATTACCTGCAGATCTTGACGGCAAAGTAAGTCTTTTCTTTGAAGTGGGGGTAGTCTTATTCAGTGAATATAGGCCTAAACCTATGTTTTAACTGTAAAATTAGGGGGTCGTCTTATACGCCGGAAAATACGGTATATATTTTATTGATTTTTTACAGAGAGGAAGAGAGAGGGACAGAGAGTTAGAAACATCGATGAGAGAGAATCACCCATCAACTGCCTCTTGCACATCCCCTCCTAGGGATGTGCCCACAACCAAGGTACATGCCCTTGACCGGAATCGAACCTGGGACCTTTCAGTCCGCAGGCCGACGCTCTATCCACTGAGCCAAACCAGTTTCAGCACTGCCCACCTTTAGCTACATGCTCATGCAAACACTCCTTTGTGCCAGAAGACAATGTGCCGTAGGTCAATCCCATGACTTTCCAATGTACAGGACGACACTCCAACCAACTGAGCAAAGGGAATTTATTTTTATCTCACACACTATAAAGTCGAGAGCTTCATTCAGAATATGAAAGTGTTCATTACAAATAGCTCTTATCTACCTGTTTAAGTAAAAACGTCATTAAACATAGACATTTCCTGGCTTTCATTACATCAGGTTAATTTATATTATGTTTCCTTTCGATTGCTCTGTAAATCAGACTTTTTACTAAGTAAGAGTGACAGTCCACCTTACTGGGATAGATTAGTGAAGTTTCACTCCATTACTGATACCTCAGATTGCTTATAATTGTTATTTCTCTCATTCATCCCAAATATTTGAAATTGTTAGCTATGGCATTGTTTTAATTATATATCACAACATTCTTTCATTCTTGGGATACTACTGAATTGACCAAAGACATCACAATAACATTGTAGAATATACTTTTACTTTAGTAGTCATGAAAGGGTGGGTTGTTAAAGGAATAGAGATTTAAACAAATAAAAATCATACTGTGTTATAGAGTAGCGCTGCTCAAAGTATACTTCCTTATCACTTGGGAGCTTAATAGAAATACATATTCATGAGCACCACTCCAGGCCTACCTAATCAGAACCTCTAAGTCAGTGGTTCTCAACCTTTCTAATGCCGCGACCCATTAATACAGTTCCTCAAGTTGTGGTGACCCCAACCATAAAATTATTTTCGTTGCTACTTCATAACTGTACTTTTTCTACTATTATGAGTTGTAATGTAAATATCCGTGTTTTCCGATGGTCTTAGGCGACCCTGCTCACGGTTCTCAACCTGTGGTTCTCAACCACTGCTGTAGAGCCTAAGACCATGGGAAAACACACATTATGATTCATTAACAGTAGCAAAATTACACTTATGAAGTAGCAAGGAAAATAATTTTATGGTTGGAGGTCACCACAACATGAGGAACTGTATTAAAGGGTTGCGGCTTTAGAAAGGCTGAGAACCGCTGCTCTAAGTGGATGGGCCCAATAATCTAATCTATGTTTTAATAAGACCCCCAGGTGGTTTATAAACACATTAAAGTTTGAGAAGCACTGTTTTAGAGAGTTTTCTGGAAATGAGAATCACAGATTGTGTACTCTTTGGAATATTGGTAAAAATACTAACTTTAGCTTTAGTAAACTAAGACCTATATATTAAGGCTTGGATTCTCTTCAGATCATGGAGTCCACTAATCTACTCCAGGTCACTGAGCCTTAACTCAGCGTCTAAGCTTGATTCTATCCCCCTATCAACACCTTCACATAATTATCTGTGTTCATCTTGCAGATGTCAGTACAAAGGTTATTTCCTCAGAGAAGCCTTTTTGCTTTACCTTCTGAAACGCTCTCAAGATATACTTAACTTCTCTGCAAATTTACAATTAAAAATATTTTTATTGGTTTCAGAGTGGGAGATGGAGGGGAGAAAGAGAGAGAGAGAAAAAGAGAGAGAGAGAGAGAGAGAATATAATTGATCGGCTGCCTCCTGCATGCCCCACACTGGGGATCAAGCCCACAATCTGAGCATGAGAGAGAGAGAGAGAGAGAGAGAGAGAGAGAGAGAGAGAGAGAGAGAGAGAGAATATAATTGATCGGCTGCCTCCTGCATGCCCCACACTGGGGATCAAGCCCACAATCTGAGCATGTGCTGTGACCAGGAATACAACCAGCACCTCCTGGATCATAGGTCAACACTTAACTATAGAGCCACACTGCACAAGCTATTTTTATAACGTATTTGATGAATGTTTACTCACTAGGCTATAAATTTCATGAGGGAAGAGACCTTGTTAGTTCTGTTAACTGGTATATCCCCAGGGTCTAGTACAGTGTTGGACACACAATAGATGCTTGACAAATATTTGTTGAATGAATATTTGAATGACACCATAACAAAAATAAGTGCTCTTAAAATTCTCTAGCTCTGGCCGGTGTGGTTCAGTTGGAGCATCATCCCGTGTACTGGAAGGTTGCAGGTTCCGTTCCTGTTTGGGTCGTGCAGGAGGCAACTGATCGGTGTATCTTTTTTACATTGATGTGTGTGTCTCTCTCTTCTTCCCTCCTTTTTAAAATCAATTAAAAAACTCCCTAAAACTTTTCCAAAGGCTTCATCTTCACCATAAGTATTAGTCATTTGAGACTGTAGTAGCAAGAGTTTTGAAAATAAAGCCATGGATCTTTCCCAGGTCTTGTTTAGCTAATAATGTCAACATTTTCCCAAGAAACCAACTGTTCTTTACATTTTATGTTTATGAATACAAAAATGGTTGACGGTGTTAATGGTGGCAAAAAGAAAGCTTGAAGGATCTTGCGCCTGCCTTTTTAATTGGTTTTTGTATGCAGCTTGTGTTGTTCACATTATGTTGGCAGGTGATGATGTCATAATTGCGTCTGACATCATGGGGTTGTCATGGCAACCTATTGAAGATTCACTGTATAAACATCTGTGCAGTTAAGTCTCAGTCCTCCTCAAGTAACACCTATGAACAAGAGGATGGATTGAATCCTGAGCCTTCAGCCAAGGCTGAAAGATACATCAACCACTCAAGTAAGTATCTAGGAGTGTGGAACTGTTATAATGTGTAAGGATAGGAACTTTTAAATGAGAAAATTAATTGAATAAAATCTGGGTAGTCATGGAAACATGACTTTAAAGTTAAGCTTTAGTTTTAAAGTTTAAGCTTCCTGTGTTTAGTTGTTTGGCCAACTCTTGTGGGCTTTATGTTTTGTGTATGGAATTTATTGTACTTTATTTATTTATTTTTTAAATATATTTTATTGATTTTTAACAGAGACGAAGAGAGAGGGATAGAGAGTTAGGTACATGCCCTTGACCAGAATCAAACCTGGGGCCCTTGAGTCCACAGGCCGACGCTCTATTCACTGAGCCAAACCAGTTTCGGAGGAGTTTATTGTACTTTAATATCCTATCTAATAAAAGAGTAATATGAAAATTGGCTGTCACTCCAACACACAAGATGGCTGCCCCCATGTGGACATAAGATGGCTACCACAAAATGGCCGCCACAAGATGGCCGCCACAAGAGGGCTGCCACAAGATGGCCGCCATAATATGGCCACCACAAGATGGCTGCCATAAGATAGCCGCCATAAGATGGCCGCCGCAAGATGGCAGCCACAAGATGACTGCCACAAGATGGCGAGCAGGGGAGGGCAGTTAGGAGGGACTAGGCCTGCAGGGGAGGGCAGTTGAGGGAAATCAGGACTGCATGGGGTTTGGGGCAGTTGGGGGTGATCAAGCCTGCAGGGGAGGGCAGTTAGGGGTAACAAGACCGGCAGAGGAGGGAAGTTGGGGCAACCAGGCCTGCAGGGAAGGGCAGTGGGGTGGGGGGGAGAGACCCAGGCCTTCATGGGAGAGCAGTTGGGTGGGACCAGGCCTGCAGGGGAGGGCAGTTGGGGGGGACCATGCCTGTAGGGGAGGGAAGTTGGGGGGGGACCAGGCCTGCAGGGGAGGTCAGTTAGGGGCAAACAGGCTGGCAGGGGAGTGGTTGGGGGTGATCAGGCTGGCCGGCAGAAGCAGTTAGGTGCAATCAGGAAGGGAGGCAGGCGAGCAGTTGGGAGCCAGCAGTCCTGGATTGTGAGAAGAGTCACAAATTGGAGAGGATGCAGGCTGGGCTGAGGGACACACATCCTGGTGCATGAATTTCATGCACAGGACCTCTAGTCTGTCCTATCTAATAAAAGAGTAATATGCAAATTGACCGTCACTTCAATACACAATATGGCTGTCCCCATGTAGTCAAAGATGGCTGCCCCCATGTGGACACAAGATGGCCACCACAAGATGGCTGAAAGGGGAGGGCAGTTGTGGGCAATCAAGCCAGCAGGGGAGGGCAGTTAGGGGTGACTGGGCCAGCAGAGAGGGCAGTTGGGAGGGACCAGGCCTCCAGGGGAGGGCAGTTAAGGGTTACCAAGCCTGCAGGAGATGGCAGTTGGGCGGCATCCAGGTCTGCAGAGGAGGACAGTGGGGGGGACCAGGCTGCAGAGGAGGGCAGTTAGGGGTGACCAGGCTGGCAAGGGAGGGCAGTTGGGGGTTACTGGGCCAGCAGGGGAGGGAAGTTGGGGGCAACCAGGACTGCAGGGGAGGGTAGTTAGGTTCTAACAGGCTGGCAGGGGCGGGTAATTAGGGGTGATCAGGCTTGCATGGGAGGGCAGTTAGGGGCAATCGGGCTGGCAGCAGAGCAGTTAGGTGCTGATCAGGGATCAGGGGAATGGTTAGGGAGTGATCAGACTGGCAGGCAGAGGTGGTTAGGGGCAATCAGGCAGGCAGGCAAGTGAGTGATTGAGAGCCAGCAGTCCTGGATTGTGAGAGGGATACCTGGTGGGATTGGGCCTAAACGGGTAGTGGGGCATCCCTTGAGGGGTCCCAGATTAGAGAGGGTGCAAGCTGGGCTGAGGGACACACCCCAGTGCACAAATTTTGTGCACTGGGCCTCTAGTATTATATATATAAAAACCTAAGCAACCTTCCTAACATCTGACTGTCTCACTTGGCAGCTATATTTCTAGGATGATGCACCTGGAGCCAGAGAGGAAGGAGCCCAATTCTGGGGTGTGTTACCCAAGAACCACCCTCTTGCAATCCAGGACCCCTCAGGGGGGTGTTGGAGAGCCTATTTTGGCCCAATCCCCATAGGCTAGGCCCAGGGACCCCAACTGGGCATGAATTCATGCACCAAGCCTCTAGTATATTATATTGGAACTATCTTTATAGAGTCGAATTGGGTAACTTTAATGTAATGGTAAGAGTACTGGTCATCCAGTCATAAGACTACTAGAGGCCCAGTGCAGGAAATTTGTGCAGAGGGGGGGTGTGTTCCTCAGCCCAGCCTACACCCTCTCCAATTTGGGACCCCTCTTACAATCCAGGACTGCTGACTCCCAGCTCCTCGCCTGCCTGCCTTCCTGATTGCCCCTAACTGCTTCTGCCTGCCAGCCTGATCACCCCCTAACCAGTCCCCTGCCAGCCTGACTGATGCCTAACTGCTCCCCTGCCAGCCTGTTTGCCCCTAACTGCTCTCCCCTGCAAGCCTGGGTCCCTCCCAACTGCCCTTCCCTACAAGCCTGGTCACCTCCAACTTCCCTCCTCTGCCAGCTTGGTTGCCCCAACTGCCCCCCCCCCCCCCCTTGCAGGCCTGGTCTCTCCCAACTGCCCTCCCCTGCTGGCCATCTTGTGATGGCCATCTTGTGTCAACATGGGGACAGCCATCTTTGACCACATGGGGGCAGCCATCTCGTGTGTTGGGGTGATTGTCAATCTGCTTATTACTTTTTTATTGGATAGGATAGAGGCCTGGTGCATGGATGGGGGCCAGCTGGTTTGACCTGAAAGGTGTCCCGGATCAGAGTATGAGCTCCCTTGAGGCATGGGGTGGCCTGGGTGAGGGGCTTGTGGTGGTTTGCAGGCTGGCCATGCCTCCTGGTAACCCAAGCAGAGGCCCTGGTATCTGGGGTTTATTTATCTTCTATAATTGAAACTTTATAGCCTTATGCGGAGGCCTGGGCCAACCAGAGTGAACAGAAAGGTTGGCTTCCTCCATCACCCGGGCAACCCTAGCCTCCTGCTCTTTCCAGCTCCATGGGTGCCGCCATTTCTGTTTGGATTTATGTATCTTCTATCATTGAAACTTTATAGCATTAAGTGGAGGCCTAGGCCGTCAAGGGCAGGCAGAAAAGCTTGGCTTCCTCCATTGCTGGGGAAACTCAAGCCTCCCTCCTGCTCTCTGTGGCCGTGGCCATCTTGGTTGGGTTTATTTCCATATTTGCTCCTGATTGGCTGGTGGGCGTGGCTTGTGGGTGTAGCGGAGTGATGGTTAATTTGCATATCATTCTTTTATTAGATAGGATGACATTTGGGAGCACCTAACCTTTCCTATGAAATGGAGGGCCTGCCCTGGCAAGTGTGCTGAGTTGGTTGGAGCATTGTCCCATATACCAAAAGGTTGGGGGGTTTGGTCCCCAATCAGGGCACATACCTGGGTGGCAGGTTCAGTCCCTGGTTGGGGCACATATGGAAGGCAGCCAATTTATGTTCTTTCTCACAATTATATTTCTTTCTATCTCAAATCAATAAGCATATCATTGGGAGGATTAAAAAAAAATGGAGGGTCTTTCTGAACAAGTCTCGAGAGCCATAGTATCTTGCCACATCATAGGTTCACTTATTTTGATTCAAGAACCTCATCGTGGTCTTGCAAGAGGAATCCATCATTTATGCCTAGATAGTTTCACCCAATGCCCAGTGCTTGGACAAGGCAGGGAGTTGCGAAAAAGTATATCTTGTTGTTTGACTTTTGCCTTGGAATGGCAGATTAGAGCCCCCGCAAAAGGAAAATCAGAATTACCATTGTTCTGTTATTGACTCATGCTAGATATCAAACTGCGATACTGCAAAACAGGAGCACATGCAAGCTAGAAGGGACAGATTGTGGCAATATTTTAAAATATCACAACTCTCTAAATAAGAAGCAGCTCTGGTAAGTGGATTTGGAATTCAGACAAAATACCCACAACACTGAAAATCTGAATTGTACATTGCCAAGGTAAATTACTTGTATGCAGTAATTATAGAAGATATGTTGGGTTATATGTTTTTTTAATATATTTTATTGATTTTACACAGAGAGGAATTGAGAGGGATAGAGAGTTAGAAAGTCGATGAGAGAGAAACATCGACCAGCTGCCTCTTGCACACCCTCCCCTGGGGATCCGCCCGCAACCAAGGTACGTGCCCTTGACCGGAATCGAACCCAGGACCTTTCAGTCCGCAGACCAACGCTCTATCCACTAAGCCAAACCGGTTTTGGCTGGGTTATATGTTAATACCTATCTTCCTTGGTATACAGACATCCCTCTCTCCTGGGCCTCTTCCTTTCCAGATTGTTCCTTTGTTCGCTCCTTAATGTCTCTATTCCCCAGGGTTCTGCTTTTATCCCTGTTGCCTTCTTACTTTATAAGCTCACTCAGGCTATTTTATCTTCTCTAGTCACTTCAACTGTTATTGATACCCTGATGACCTCTTTAATCAGAAAGACCTGATTTATTTCTGGGGCTCTAAATGCCAGCTTCTAAAGCATAAAGAATATTTCCACTTGTTCTTTTTATCCACCATAAACACTCTTGTCCCCCTTCATGTCCTACCCCTGTACCTGTTAATACTTTTCTGCAGTTAATGGTATCACCTAGACTGTAAATTGTAAGAGAGAAGGACCAGTGTTGTACCTCTATCACCCAGCAAAGTGTCTGGCACAAGGTAGATACCCAGTAAATGGTGTTAAATAAGTGATGAATCCATTTATTATTCTAGACCTTGGGATCATTCTTATTTTTAATCCTCACTTGAGGGTATGTTTTTATTGATTTTAGAAAGAGAGGAAGAGGGAGAGACTGAGAAACATTGATGGACTGCCTCCTGTAGCACCCCAACCAGGGATCGAACCAGCAACTTGGGTTTGTGGCCAGACTAGAATGGAACCTGTAACCTCTTAGTGCAGGGGATGATGCTCCAATCAATTGAGCCACATTGCCTAGGGT